ATATTTTTGATAAAGTTATGGCAAAACATACGGACTCCAATTATAGAAAGAAACGGACTCCAATTACATACAGAAAGAAAAGGTCTCTTAATCCGTTCTTTGTGTGGCGTCAACCCTTTGATTATATCTAGTCTAGATTTTATAAACGTAATAGCTGTAACTATAAATATTTGGAAAATGTATAAAGAATTTTTTTGCTACATTATACAATTGGCTTTATTTCGAGAGACTAACAAAACTGTACCGTGCCACACACTTAGTAGCTCTGTAGTTCATAGTTGGGTTTAAATCTGGCAAAGTGTGGAGCCTGACCCCAAGCAAAATGTGTGTGTGATTCTCGCGAAAAAAAGCAAAATGTCAAATGTGTGACATGGGGCCCATGAGACCCAGCTCATGGGCCGAATTGCGGTTGGGGGTACTGTAGTCGTAGTTAGACAGGGCTGAATTCGGTTACTGCAGCGCCGAGTAACTGTACCTACGGTGAACACTGTGCAAGCATAAGTTTAGTGCCTACCGTGAATTATAATTTCGTTGAACCAACGATGATTCGTAACCTTCGGATAACTGTTTTGCACGAAACGATGACGAAAATATAAGTGGATCGCTAAATAGGTGGGGCCTGTCCCTGGATAAAGTGGGTCTGTGGAGGTTACAAATAGTATTCAGAGCCGACTGTCGCATTTTACAGATGTATGGTTTCGATTTCCACTACCCACCTCGCGGCGTCGTCAACGATTTCAGGGATAAACTACCCATCTTCGCGGCGTCGTCAGGTTGATTTGGTTTCGATTTCCACCTCGCGGCGTCGTCAGGTTTCGATTTCCACTACCCACCTCGCGGCGTCGTCAACGCGGCGTGGCGTCGTCAGGCGGCGTCGTCAGGTTTCGATTTCCACTACCCAGGTTTCCATTTCAGGGTAACTACCCACCTCGTGGCGTCGTCAACGATTTCAGGGATAACCCACCTCGCGGCGTCGTCAGGTTTCGATTTCCACTACCCAGGCTTCGATTTCAGGGTAACTACCCACCTCGCGGCGTCGTCAGGCGGCGTCGCCACCTCGCGGCGTCGTCAACGATTTCAGGGGTTTCGATTTCCACTACCCAGGTTTCGATTTCAGGGTAACTACCCACCTCGCGGCGTCGTCAGGTTTCGATTTCCACTACCCACCTCGCGGCGTCGTCAACGCGGCGTCGTCAGGTTTCGATTTCCACTACCCACCTCGCGGCGTCGTCGTCAGGCGGCGTCGTCAGGTTTCGATTTCCACTACCCACCTCGCGGCGTCGTCAGGTTTCGATTCGGCGCTATAAATACCCGGTGCGAACCGATCCCCATCTGCCTTCCCTTCCATTCCTTTGCTAAGGGCCTGGAGCCTACAAAGGGAGCCTTAAACCTCAATCGAGGGCAAAATCTTTCCTCCGACCGTCCGACGGACCACGTTCTGCCCAATCGCAAGGTAATTCTTCATTCCTCCTCTACTTTTCTCACATTAGCCAATATATCGCCCGTAGGCCGTAGCTAATCTCCAATCGATTTGATTCTTGGCTTATGTACCCTCTCCCAAATCCGTGCCTATTCTGCCCGAAACCCCTGTGCTCTTGGGCCCTTTGTGTTAGATCTGTTGATTCGATGCTGAGCTTGTTGGTGACAAGTTATGTTTTGTTGTCTCAACACTTATCCCCTTTTCGCGTTCTGCTGATACTACTATCTTTTAGGGCGTGCCTGAGGTCACAAAGTAGCCCCCCCTTTTCTCGTTTCTCTTTCCGTAGAATGAAAGTGGTTAAGTGGGGTGGGCCAGTTCCAAAAAATTCTATCTGTTGCCTGTTGGTGTAGGATCTTCCTGAATTTGTTTGGTTTGGCAGTTGAGCTTGTACCCACAGAGCTGTTACGTGTGATGTAGTATTCTGGATTTCGTTGCTAGTGGATATTCCAAAGCTCTGCTACAGTTTGTCGTGTGCCCATATGTGCTTCTGTCGGTTCAGTGGAACTAATTAGTTCTGCGTTGCTCAACGCGGCAATTGGTTAACCCATGTGTGCTTCTGTCAGAGGGGGACTCAAAATCAAGGTCATACACATATACGTCAGAGTGGGATTTGTACCTGAGTACCTCACTTGGTTTAGACCAATTATTCATATCTTTGAAATAAAAAAATCAAGGACCATTATTTGCCTGATTAGTAAGCATATGTGGTCAACAATCTGTCTATGAGTTTTGCTGATATGTGTGTCTCGGTGACCCAATTATTACGAACCTCATGTACAGCCACTGCTGCTATGATACTGCTTTGTTGTCTTCTTTTTCCTTCTTGGTGATTTTAGGGAATCAGGGTGTACCATGGTATAATTGTCTGAAGTAGTGCATTAGTTTGGTTCTGCATTTGTGCTTCCGCTGTTCTTTAGTTCCAACACGCCCCTTTTTAATGTTTGCAAACTGCTTACTAGTACCATATAATGCTCGAGTGTGGTTGTGTACTGTATCATCAAACTATGTGTGTTGTAACTCCAGATTTCCCTTGTCATTTTTTTTTCATTCTGAGCTCCTGCATGCATGTTGGTCCCAGCCTCCCAGGCTTCCAGCTGTGGAAATAACTAGATGGATTCTTAATCTAATTTTGATTTGGTATATGCGTCCTATATGTAAAACTTTTAAACTGTTTAATTCTATCAGGGTTGGATTAAACTTCTATCCTGTGCTGTTAGCTTATGAATGTCTGTTCAACTTATTGTAGCGGTTGGTCAGCTTTTGAACCCAGGTTGTATAGGGTAATTCTAGTAGCCTGATTCATGCTTATTAGGATTTAGCACTTTTCGATCCTAATTTTCTCCCAACCTACTACCTATTTTTGTAAAACTTTGTTATTTCTGTTGTTAAATGGAAATGGAAGATACCTGGTTCTGGAAAGAGAACTTTGAAATTTGAATTGAATACTTCTTTTTTTTAGGGAAGAATTGAATACTTCTAAGTTCTGACTTTCTGTATAAACATTTTAAATCTGTTGGTTTCATTGTTAATTTATTCAAAACCTGGACAACAATTATTTTGGATTCATTGAACAGTATATGCTAGTTTCTAATCAAGGAAATGTTACAAACATATGGTGTTATTTCTTTCCAGGTTAGTGGGACTGGTGGTCTTAAGATCCAGATTTCTTTGTTGTGCCTCTTGTTGTTTGACTCTTAATAACATGATGTTATCAGTCGCATGTCAGCGTGAACTTTTTCCTGATAGGCTCAACAACAACAACAACAACAACAACAAAGCCTGAACTGAAGTTATTAGGGATGATCTCGTATGCATGATTACTTAGCATTTCTTTCTGGAGCTACTAATCTGTATGATCAAGTGTGCTTTGTTGACTTGTCTGGGGCTTACTTCCTGTACATCTAGTGCTGCCAGGATACTTAGGTTTCTTGGTATGTCGTATTTAGGATGTTTAAGGTGTTTGTGGTGTACCATGGAACAATTGTACTGAGTAGTTCATCCAGCAGTTCTAATTCTTCCTTCAAGTAGTGCTTCTGCTGCTATCTTGTTTTTGTGTTATATTTTATAATTGTGGAAATATTGATTTACAAACTTCCTGCTGCTTATAATACTAGAACTAGAATTGTGGTTATGAATTGAATGACTAGAGCTGCTATATGCATGCGCAATGTATATTGGTTTCCAACACCAGTTTTTCACCTTTTCAGTCTCCCATGCATGATGTAGAATGCCTAGCTGTGAGCCACAGCAATGCAAGTCACTATAGAATATTCAAATGGCATGTTGTCATCTGGCTCTATGAAAGTAAACTAGCTAATTCTTTATCTTCTATACATCAAGAAAATCATCCAAATTTGGTATCATCTAATTGAATGCTTTTTAGTTTGACTTTTATTGTCTGAACTCTAAAGCATGTGGACTTGATTGTTAACTTATTCAAAAGCTGGAGTACAGTTTTGTTGTGATTTAATATTTGATGCTAATTCTTAATCAAGGAACCATAGAACGCTTTTTTCCAGTTCAGTGAAACTAGTTGGTCCGAAGATATGGATTTCTTTGCACCTTGTTTGAATTCCTATCACAACGTATTGGCAGTCACACACACACATCAGGATGAACTTTTACAGGATTGACTCACCTCACCTGTTTCAAATTAACTTGCTCATATCCCTGCCTAATTTGTGCGCTGCGTGATCAGTCAGCATCTCTCTGAGTCGCTAATCTGTATGTTCAAGTGTGCTTTGTTGACTTCTGTGTTTAATTGTTTCATCAACTTACCATCTGTATAAGCTGCCACGGTATCTAGCTTTCTTAGCATGTGGTATCTTGGATGTTTAAGGTATCCATTGTGTATTATAGAGCAATTGTGTTCAGTAATTCAGCAAGGGTGCTACTTTTTTCCTTCAAGTCAACTAACGCTTATGCTTCCGAGGCTATTTTGTTATCAAGTTAGCTAATCTATCATCACCTTGTGTGAACACAACAGAGGAAGGCGGCGACTTTTGCCCCTCGTTGTGATATCAGAGTCAGCTGCAGTCAGTGTAGCCCAAGACGGCTCACTCAAGCAAGATCAGTAGGCACATGCAAGGGTCAGCGCAGTCAGTCAGCCAGATGCTTATCTAGTTATTGTATACGACATGTGTTGTACTTTAGTTAGATAGATAGAGTTGTATAAATAGGGCACCAAGGCAACTCAAGAAAGAGAGCTCTCAGATTGCCATCACACGTATTAGGGGCTCGGCCAACGTTGTTGTCTTGTATTGTGCGTGCTTGCTCTGTTCTCCCTTCTTCTTCTAGCTCGATCCGTAGTGCGTGGGTACGGACAAAACCGATACGGTGGTCTGGGAGACTAGTGGTCTGGGAGGCCAGGGGTCTGAGACTAGTGGTCTGGGAGGCCAGGGGTCTAAGACTAGTGGTCTGGGACTAGTTCACTGTCGTCAGCCGGTGATCCCGTGGGCCAACAGTTACATCTAATGTTTTACCGATAATGCGAGATTATAGTTAATCTGCTAGAATACCCATGGTTGCAACCGTGAGTACTCAGATATTAAAGTCGCTATAGGATGTTGTGTTGTCATCAGTGCCTTATTTTTCCCAATACCTTTTTATAGGTATGAAAAGTTCTTTCAGTTTTGATGTTCTTCTGTTAAATTGAATTTGAATACATTTTAAAGTTCCGAAACATCTGTATGACTTGAAAATCAATTTGCTTACTCTGGAGTCGGAAACCATATTATTGTCAAATTTTGACTCAACCTTTTCTTCTTTAGTCGAGAAAAAATTCTGGGTTTGGAATTTGGATTCACATATCAAAAGGTTCAACTTGGATTCCAGCTTTTAACTTGATCTTTTGATTTCTCATTGTAAAATACTAAAATCTGCACTTCCAACTCACATATGTGAAATTTCAACTAAATATTTGAGATTTCAATTTTGTTTTGTTGCTTAAAATGTTCAAGCAAGCAAAAAAAAAAAGGAGAATGAAAAAAAATACATGTAAAATTGTTAGCTGTAGATCTTTACCTACTCTATATGCACAAGCTCGAAGCAGAACTAGGTTGGAATGGCCATGAGTTTGTGCCCATCTCTCACAACGTATTTGCTTTTTTTTTTCTGCAGATGCAGATCTTTGTGAACACCCTCACCAGCAAGACCATCACCCTTGAGGTTGTGCCATCCGACACGATCGACAACGTCAAGGTGAAGATTCAGGACAGGGAGGGGATTCTCCCTGACCAGCAGCGGCTCATCTTTGCTGGCAAGCAGCTCAAGGTTGGACGTACGCTTGCTGACTACAACATTCAGAAAGAGTCCACCCTGCATCTCGCTCTTCATCTCCATGGCGGCCGGCACATTGCCTGCAACAGCATTCCTGAGGTTGTTTCGTTATCTCACAGGACCACATCCTTCCTAGTTAGTCTTAATTGCTCATTTGATCTATTCATTTGGCCGAGGCTGGCTGGTCATATTTCTTTTCTTTTTGAAGGAACTTGGCAGGAGCTCTGCTCCTTCTGTTTAGAGCGAGGAAGTGCACAACATTTTAGAATAGCCTCTAGACGACTTTATTCTCACTTCTCAGTAAGAACAATTAAAAGAAGTGATTTAATCAGAAATCTGTGCAGCATTTGCTTATCCATCAATTGAGTTTATTTGGGCAAGCAATTTAGGTCAGGGATAGGTGGCTTGCCTTTGCTGACTACTGCAGGAGTGCCGGGGATGTTGCTGGTGGCAGCGGAGGTAGCATAGTGTTGATAGGTTAGCCGTTAGTGCGGGGTGGTAGCTAATGATAGAGCTCAGGCTTTACAAACACGTCCATAGGATCTCATCTCACGGGGGATGGGTAGAATAGAAGAGCTAGAATTGTCTCGCTCCTTGGATGGATTTGAGCGAGTACATTTATAAGTGGAAACTTAATCTTAAGTTGACTCATGAAACAACCTGTATAACGAGTTGCCTTATAGTAATCCACAATTCGTTAATTTATGCATAGAATAAAAGGAATGTTATGATGTACATGACAATAACTCAAACAATGGTGTAGAAGCTGTCCTAAAGTCCTAAATTTTAGGTTAAACTTCCATCGCTCTCCTCCCATCATTCATCATAATATAAGGACGGATAGCTGCAACTGTATAGAGGTATTAGGTACACTGGACGGTTGAACCTATGTCCAATGGTCCATAAAATTGACTTGTAATAAATAAGCAAAATTAAGGAAAGAGAGATACCTTATTAGAAAATTAGAAAAACTACCGATTTGGCGTAGTATTAGGCAAGGCTTGTGAACCCAGTCATTAGGAGGCTATGGATTTGGCACTATTTTAAACGTAGGTTGATGAAGCGAGGCGATCGTCCGTTTCAGGTCTCGTGAGGATCGAAGAGAGAAGCCTTAGCCTTAATGATGTGATGACAAAGGCAGATCGAAAAGATGATATGAACTGTCCAATTTGTTTATTCCAACGACACCAACCGATGTAGATATGATCCTTTCTTATTTATACTAGCAAATTTGCCGGTACTTTCAACGGGACATTGCTTGATTTCAAATGGGCACGAAAGGCTTGAGGATATATATCCAATGATTATGTTATGCGTTTCAAAGGCTAACTTCAAATATGTGTTATTTAATAAAAAAAATAGAAATTGTCTATCAAACAATATATCATCACAATAACGTACTCCCTCCGTTTCAAATCATAAGACATTTTGACACCAGCTGACTGAAACTGATTTATTGTGAGAGAAAAACACTATACCATAGCTAATAAGTCATGTTGATAAGTTCAAGCGAACAGGACCATACTGTTTTTACTATTTATTTAGATATAGTGTATATCTAAGTGCATAGCAAAAAATTATGAAGCTAGAAAAGTTAAAACTTCTTGTAATTTGGAATGGAAGGAATAGTAATCAGACCCAACCGAGATTAGCGTAGCTAATGCATGCACCAAATAGACAATAGACAAACTAATAGTGAGGAAATTATTTTCTTGGCCCAAAAAAAAGTGATGCTTAGTTTCTTAGTCTTTTTTTTCTCGAACTTGCTTATTTGGTACTAAAAGGAATTCCTTTTGGTTTCTTGGCCCTTTCGTTAGTTTGATGGGCTAACAGTGTCAAGCTGTACGTGAAATGACTATTTTAGGGCCAATATTTTTTCACAGGTCTTTCAGGCCGTCTCTATCAATAATTTTCTAAAATAAGGTACAATATTTTTTTCAAGCATGGAATCATTATTTTTTTGTATTTTTTGTAATAATTATTTTTTCAAGCCAGGGGTAAAAGAGTCATATAGCGTACAACTTGACACCGTTAGTCCATCAAACTAATGGAAGGGCCAAGAAACAAAAAAAAAAATCGTTTTAGGGCCAAATAAGAAGGTTCGAGCAAAAAAAAACAAAAAAACTAAGCAGCACTTTTTTTAGGACAAAGGAAATAATTTGCGGGGAAAACAAATGTCTTGCGGTCAGCGGTCAGCGAATAGTATTTTTGAATAAACATTATATAACTTCACTGTTCGATGAAAGTGACGTATCACTAAAAGAAGAAAGATCATGCTTAGCACCTCCAGGGACCAGCGCTCGATTTAACCGAGCAAAGCAGCAGATCAACAGATCTAAGGAGTCAAACTTCTGCTGACGGTGACCCCAAAAAACATAAGATCGTGAGTTGTGACAAAAAAACAGGCTGTCACTCGTGACCTGCTGGTTTGGAGGCCCAACTATTTTGGGGCCTTGGGTCATTGCGGTCGTGCGGTCGCCCATCCGCGCGCAGCACGCCCTCGTCGACGGCCCAGGGTTTGGTTAAATCCGTTTAACCACCTGAAAGCAGCCTGGATGGGCTCATAATTTCAATTGGGCTGTGCACTGAGTTTCTATGGGCTCAAACACCTGTTTTTCTTTGAATCGTATACTGGGGGGTCCAGTAGAGCTACTTGTGATTTTCAAAAAAAAAAAAAGTAGAGCTACATGTTGTTATTGCTTTTCAATAGAGGCGACACCAAAAGAATCTTACTCATGTACACATTCGTGCAGGCTGTTGCAGATGAGGACACATTCGTGCAGGCCGTTGCAGATGAGGACGGGAACGGTGTGGTTGGAATGGTTGGGCAAGACGGGGTCCCCGGCGCTCAACGCCTGCGCATGCGCAGAGAGGGCCTCCGTGTCCTGGGAGTGGCCGTCGCTTCTCTGGCCGTGACGGGGCTACTGGCCGCTGGCGAGGCAACTCCTCCGGCGACGGGCGTTGCCCTGCTCACGGTGCTGATAGGCGGCCTGTCCTCGCCACCATACCAACGCTCCGTGGACGCAACATGTAGCCAGTTCTGTAGCCGCGAGCTCGAGGGAGGTTTGAGACACTGAAACAGTTTGGGTCTCTTTGAGATTCCTGGGGGATTTGTTTTGCTCTGCTCTGCTTTGTTTGAGATTCCTTGGACTCTGATTTGCTCGTTTGTAATAATGAACAGTTATATGCATTAGTCGATGCAGAAGCTGGGATGTTAATATATTTCCTTTTCTAAAAAAAAGCTGCTCTGTTTTAGCTCCTGGTTTCATGGTGCTTCCATTCCACCATTGATCATTGTATTGATGTATCACCATGATTTTGTCAAAACTATAGTCTTATTGGAGTTTCACTTATGACCTCTTTTTTTAAACCAAGGTTTTATATCTTTTATTAGCTTATAAAACAAAAGTTTTTTGAGATCACAATTTTCAAAAACTACGTCATTCAAATAACTCTGCTTTCAAGTTTTAGTAGCACTATTAAGTTGTTAAGCTATCTAGACTAGGTAATTAAACATCGTGGTGCTCCATGGGCCATGGCCTATGGCTGCGCCGCCATGACCTGGCCATGGTGGAGTCTATCAGATCTGCAAGCGCCGACGTTTAAGATTCGCTAAAATAAAATTGCCGCCTTATATTGGAAACCATTGGTAACCAAACTAGACTCAAAGATTAGAATTAGAGAATGTTATGGATCTTCAAAATCATGGAATTTGATATTGAACCATAACCTCGGGAATTCTGTTAGTTTCGATAAATTTGTGACGTAAATTCGTCTTTACCTTGTTGTTGGTAGCAGGACAACACCCAACACACGGTAGCTAGTATATATATTGTTCCCTACACCATAAGCTCAGAGATTAACGACATGTTTGACAATGATCAGGCACATGATTCATGCATTTCAGTGAATGGTTTGCCGTTTCTTTCAATTGAAACCAAATGATTTGTCTTTTTCCTGATTGGGACGTACAGCTGTCCATTTAGACATGTTAATACAACATGGGAGAAATGTGATGATTCACGCAGCGATGTTGGGGGTATTCTTAGGATTTCTCACATCCGTACGTCTTGCGGTGTGTGGTACTCTGTGCTAATGTGCTTGTTTTGTCCCGTAATTATTTTAGAATTCCATCACTGTCTTTTCCCGTAATTGTTTTGTCCTCTCGTTATATGTGGAGTAGCAACGTAGCATAGGCCATAGGGGATGCTTGCAGCCGGACAGTTTTAGAATTTTGTTTTGATTTATCCACGCAATTGTGGTTCATGGGCTTGGTACAAATTCTAACAAATTTAAATATTAGTTTTGGGCTATGGTATAGTAGTAGCTCATTTGGTTAAGTTCTTTATGGTAAACTTGCCCACTAGCAGGTTCAAGTCTATGACTCCGTACAAATTCTCACATTTATTCTTTCGATAATAGATGATATATCGATTGACGGTGAAACGACAATGATACCATTGTCGATATCGACATTCATCTTTTTAATTGTGTGATGTGCAGTGATGTTTATAAGGATAAGTTATACATGTGGCACCTTATAAAGGTGGAAGTGCGTGACGTGTATTGTATTTTGAAAAAAAAAATTACATCCTTACACCATTTGCATTCAGGTCCCTACTTGCTGCTTTTGCTTGTTCCATTGGGCCAATAATTTATAAAAAATAGTATAGCAATTCTAAATAGGTATATACTATAAAAATATATTTCATAACAAATATAATGGTACATATTTAATATGATGAATATTAGTATCCTTTTATTTTATATAAATTTAGTTACACTACTACAAAATATACAATCACTGCTGGTTCATGGAATTGACAGTGATAATACTAATTATCGATTCGTGGCTTCAAGAAATAGTGATATTACAAACGGCAGGAAAGGTGGGCTATTACTACCAGATATTGCCACCAACCGATAACAGTATTCCTGGTACTCAAATCTGAAATTTGATCTCAATTCTTTTAAGTTCCTTCACGCCCGTCGTCTCTCTCTCTCATCTTCTCCCTTCTCTTCCCCTTCTGTACCACACAGTCTCCCTTCTCTCCTACATCGTGGCAACAGCGGCCCCAGGCCGTGCAGGCCCTAGCAGCGATGCTCCCCGGCGCGTAGCTGCGGTAGAGTCCCAGGTGTGTGGCTACTGATACGAGGAATCTCCCTCTCTGTCCCCCTGATATGGGAGTCGATCTGTCACTCGGTTTAATCTGTGATTTGTTCATGTCCCCCACTATTGGGTTACGCAAATGGCTACTCGCTAGCACAAATTAATTACCGCGTAAAAACAGGATCACTTGCATGTAGATGATCATAGGTTATATCTTCCTGACGCGCGACACAGCGGAAGACTTGGCAGATCGCGCATAGTCGATGTAGTAGACATCGAGGAAGATGTCGTACCGTACGATGTAGTGCGCAACGTAGCAGCACCTCTACGGACGTACACACGTACGGAGAGGAGAACGGGGGCGACGTAGCGTGCTAGCGCTCGTGGACGCACACGGATTGCAACGGAACCCAAAGGCACTGGCTTCTTCCGGCGGTTGCACGCACACACGCACGCGAACAGCAGAGGGCGGCGGCGTGGGTGGGTGCCTTGCAATTAGGTTAATCACCCCTTGCCCGGTGATTAGCTTATATATATATAAGCATGCTCATGGGCCAGCCATATGGGCCACGTTGGGTTGCAGTGGGCCAATATATAATTTCTCTTGAGCATTAACTAACAGAAGGAGTGGTATACAACATTAGGGAAGTATGATAGATTCTTTTGTCGACCCAAGCACATCGGGCCATCTGATGCCGGCCGTCGTGTTACGTGTACGACGACGATCCTGCGCGCCCTTCACGTGCACGCGCCGGCGCCCGGGGGCACGTCTCGACATTGCCTGGCGCGGGCATGGTCGTCACCGCGGGGCCTGATACGAACGCCGTCGGCTTCGGCCGCGCCATTGATGTGTCCGAAGGCGTGGTCGAATTGGGTTCCGAGCGTCTCCATACCCTCACGTACTGCACTCCCCTTTCGCTGCTCAAGTAGCACTCTTTTTCCTTCTTCCTGAACACTGGCGAGATATGCTTGCTCTGTTTTTGTCTCTGTTTTCCGCAGTCGACCTGACAACTGACATTTCCTTGTCAAATCCGCTCTCCCTTCTTCAAATTCGATGCCTACATTGGTGGCATGCCCACGGTAGGCCATTTACGGAATGTTTGCGTGTTTGGGCAGTGGTGTTCCTTTTATCAAAATACCTACTGGAGTGTACTATTATTTCGTTGTGACCTGAAGATAACTCAAAAGGTCAAAAAGTTCACCATGTATTGCGCGCTTAAGACGTGGCACGGAGTTGTAAATTGCACTTACCTTTGTTCATTTATTCCTTGACTAAAGGACCATTTGGAGAGGGCTCTCTCTGGCTCGGGGTTTTTTTTAAGACGAAAGAAGAATTATATTAGATAATAGCTGGGTACATCAATATGTTACGAGCACGCTGGATTACACAAATATCTAGAAACTGATTTTCATCTAAATTATACCCACGCTGTGAATAGCTCCAGATCTCAAAACCAGACATGTACGACGCTTTGCAGTATAGATGACCGCACATGCAAACACTCGGCAAAAGGCGGCCCAACGAACGACGGCCAACATTCATGTAGGCGGAGTTCAGAAACTTCTCTCTGCCAACGAAGAATGAGAAAGACTGATCTGAAACTTATTCTCCCTAGTCCTTTATTGTGGCTAGATCTAACAACAATAAAACGAAGAAGAGACCGGAGAAAATTATTCCATGGTGGCGACACCATCTCATCTTTGATGTCGCTGTCTGGAAATAAAAGTCTCCATATCATCATACTGGTGAGGATGCTGACGCCCTAGTTATCGCCCTCATCTTCAATAAAGCCGCCATGGAGAAAACGATTCCATCCTACCCTCTCGCCGTTGCGGGAGAGGAGATAAATCTCCAAAACCAAGAAACTTGGCAGGAAGAGACTCTAACCCTAAGGACTATGAAAAAACTTATTAAAAACGATGGATCCCTACTCCCTTCAGCCTCCGGCGACATGCAGGAAGGGAAGGGAGGGGGACCAATGGTGGTGAAGGAGGAGGCAGCGGCTCTACGCGAGGGCACGAAGGGCTGCGTGCTCGTACGTACTGGCTCAGGTTCCTTCACGATACTAGCGGAGTCGGGACGTGCCTCAAATATGCAGCTTATTCAGCTCCTCCTATTCTTAGTTCATTTTTAGTGGGAACGGACCTGTTTTTTTTACGACGAAAGAAGAATTATATTAGATAATAGCTGGATATATCAACATGTTACAAGCACGTTGGATTACACAAATATTTAGAAACTAATTTTTATCTAAATTGTACCCACGCTGTGAATAGCTCCAGATCTCAAAACTAGACCTATACGACGATTTGCAGTATAGATGACCGCACAGGCAAACACTCGGCAAAAGGCGGCCCAACGAACGACGGCCAACGTTTACGTAGGCGGAGTTCATAAACTTCTCTCTGCCAACGAAGAATGAGAAAGACTAATCTAAAACTTATTCTCCCTAGTTCTTCATTATGGCCAGATCTAACAACAATAAAACGGAGAAGGGACCGGAGAAAATTATTCCATGGTGGTGACACCATCTCCTCCTTGATGTCGCTGTCTGGAAATAAAAGTCTCCATGTCGTCATACTGGTGAGAATGCTAACGCCCTAGTTATCGCCCTCATCTTCAATAAAGCCGCCATAGAGAAAACGATTCCATCCTACCCTCTCGCTGTTGCGGGAGAGGAGGAGGAGATAAATCTCCAAAACCAAAAAACTTGGTATGGAGAGACTCTAACTCTAAGAACTCGATCTACTGAAAAAACTTATTAAAAACGATAGATCCTGTGGCAGAACCGTCTAATCTAATGCCTCCCAGGAGTACTCGTCTTCCATCAGACACTAAGTACGCAAGGAGGACACCAAATTACTCGGTTCCGTCGGGCACACCCCAAGGGAGAACCCGAAAATCCACATTTTCCATCAGGATCACAAATGAGAGAATAAAGCTTACAACATTTTTATCAATTTCTT